CGTGTGATGCCAAAGCCTATACCTTGACAGCTAGCTTCTTTCAACTGGACACGTCTACCCTCTAAGCCATTCTCCTCACTCTCAGAGGTTCAAGACATGGGAGGACTGAAGGAGGGGGAGAGGGAAAACAGAAATGGGGGGCTGAGGCTTGGCTGTCCCTGGCCTCCTGGATTTCAGTCTCCTAATCTCTCCTGGTGTGGCACTGTGGTGGGTTAATGCACCAGACTGCAAAGCCATTTCAACCACAAGGTCGGCGGTTCAAACTCACCAGCTGCTCCTTGGAAACCCTATACAGGGTGGCTATGGGTCAGAATCGACTCAACGGCACTTAACAACAACAACAATCTCTCATTCACATCTCCCAGGACTGCTAGGAGGATTTTCAAAGGGAAAGGTGGACATGAGAAATAGAACATTCTGCTTTAGTGTTGTGTTGCATGAATTCAGAATGCCAGGCAGTGGATTAGAAGGCATGGCCCAGGCCTGGAGTTAGCAAATCACAGGGTTAAGAAATTCTCCAGTCAGGCCAGCTGCCTCCATCCCAGCTCTGCTAACACCTAGCTGTGTGACCCCGAGCAAGTTTCTTCACTTCTCTGGCCCTTGATTGCCTTTATCTATGAAATGAAGAAGATGCCAGTCCCTACCCATAGTGCATATAAGGTGCTCTGCATGGAATTGCAGGGTCTCTTTAAGAATTTCAAGATGGAGAGCATTTAGACAAGTGTGGAGTCCCTGTAAGCACGGGGTCTTGTACGACTGAATGGGTCACAAGCTCATGAACGAAGCTGACCCTGGTGCTGGGAATAGTGTTCTTTGTGGATGTGCTTTCTTGGTTGTAGTCTCCTTACCATGAAAAGCCCTGAGGTCTCAACCATGTACCAGGGCTTTGGGGGAGATAGAACATCACATGCCAGCCAGGAGGATAGTTGAGTGGTGTAATCAGCCCTGGAGCGTGGGCCTGGCTGGGGAGGCAATGCTGGACAGTCAAAGTGACTGTGTGTCCAGCCTGGCTCTGTATGGATGGGCCTGGGGCTGCAGGGAGGGGAGGCGCTGCCTGAACCTGCCAGCTGAATTTCATTATCTGAAACAAGTCCCTGACCCCTGGGGCACAAAGCAGGGGGAATTGGGGAGTTGTAGGGAGAACTGGAACAGGTTAGCAGGCAGGCAGGCGTGCAGTGGGGGCTTGTGGGCATCAGGACTCTGTTATGTTAACTGGAAACGTATGGCCCAGGGGCTGCTTGACCAAGCCTGGGAGGGCACGTGTAGGGGTGTGTGTGTGTGGGGGGGGGGGGTGAGTGTGAGTAAGAGAGAGAGAGAGAGAGCATTTCAAAAAGATGGTGGGAAAAGAAACTAACCTTTTAATTCCATTTTTTCACAAACTTTTTGAAGGCCTCTCATATCTTGTCTCTATCTGGGAAGAAGGGAGTTGTGTATTTGTGTCCGTGTGACCCCCTCACATGAGCATAACAGTAGGAGGGAGATGGTCCCATGGCTGGGACAGGCATTCTTAAACAGACTGGAGTTTCAGAGCCTCATGGGAGTTCACCTGCTCCGAGGAGATTCTGAATCTGTTTGAGGGCTAGGGACGGGGTAAGATGTATGGAACTAACACAGGGTTTGACCCCTGGGGTGCCCCTTTTCTCACTTCTGTCCCCTGAGAATCATCTGTCACCCTCTACGTGCTTACCATGTGTAAGGCATCATTCTAACTCAACAACCCTACAGGGCAGGGCCAGCCATTTCCTCTTACAGAGGAAGTAAGGTGGCTGGAGTAACACACCAACAGATGCAGCTGATACATGCATGATTAGGAGCTTGAACCCAGGGAAGGCAGCCTTGAGCCTGAACTCTCCCACAAGTTCAACCAGCAGACAGAATGATTAAGGTAGAAGGTTTGGAAATATAGAGGGTGTTTGCCCGTGAGGGATTATTGTCATGAGCCCGTACCTGTACATGTGTGCATGCACAAATACATGGGCATTGAGAGCTGGCGGAGCAGAGTTTGAATCTTTGTCCATTACAGGTAACCTTTGAGACCTTACATAAGTTCCTTACACTGCCTGAGCCTCCAAGCTTCATCTTTAACATAGAGATACCACACTCGCCCCTCAGCATGGTCAAATCATTTATTCATTCATCAGTGATTTACTGAGCTGCTACCAGGCACCAGGCACTGTGCTTGACCCGGCAGATATGTTGTTGTTAAGTGCTGTCCAGTCAGTTCCGACTCATAGCAACCCTGTGTAGGGTTTCTGAGGTTCTAATTCTTGATTATTGCAGAAAGTCTCATCTTTCTCCCATGGAATGGCTGGTGGACCATGCGGTTATCAGTCCGATGCCCAACCCACTATGCCCCCAGCAGATACAGCCTGGCTCCAGCAGATATAACATGAACAAAATAGACAAAAATTCTTGCCTGCTTAGAACTTACATTCTAGTTGGAGTGAGTGGCAGAGGTAGGTGGGGGGCCCAGGTCTGGTACCTACGATGGGCTTAGCGGTTGGTTATAGGTTGTGACTCCGGATACTCGGCCCATGTCTCCTCAGGTGACATGTGGATTTTGTATTCATTTCCTAGGGCTGCCATAACAAACTACCACAGACGACATGGTTTTAAACAACTGAAACTTCTGAATTCAAGGTGTCAGCAGTGCCTTGCTCTCTCTGAAGGTTCTAGGGGAGGGCCCTCTCTTGTCCCTTTCAGTCTCTGATGACCCCAGGCATTCCTTGGCTAGCTACAGTACAGTGGATAGATACTGAAATATATATATATGTATATTGTTGTTATTATGTGCCGTGGAGTCGGTTCTGACTCATAGCAACCCTGTACGGGGTTTCCATTGGGCAAATCTGCTGCAAAAGAATGCTTTAAAGATGAGGACATGGAGAGAGAGAGCAGCTGAGGACTGTAGACTCATGGAAAGAGAAAGACTGAGTGCTGGCAGCTTTACAGTATGTGCCCCTTGGTTGTTTAAATTATATATTTCTGGGTGTTTTGTGTACCCACACACACACACACCGAAAAAAAGCCCCCAAAACACAGAAGGAATGGAAGCAAATACTGTTGAATGATGATGTATGGAGATATTGTAATCATTGCAATAAAATGATGCGTGTAAAACTAGTGTTCTCCCATGTAAACTATCCCTCAATTCACAATAAAAAGTTAAAAACAAACAAACAAAACCATCTTTAAAGTGTTCAAGCGCACAGCTATCATTCTGAGGGCTAAGATGTGCCTGACTAAAGTCATGATACTTTCAATCGCCTCCTATGTGTGTGAAAGCTGGACAATGAATAAAGAAGACCAATGAAGAATTGATACGTTTGAAATATGGTGTTGGCAAAGAATATTACAAGTACCATGGACTGACAGATGAACAAACAAATCTGTCTTGGAAGAAGTCCAGCCAGAAAGCACTTTGGAAGTGAGGGTGGTGAGACTTAGTCTCATGTACTTGGACATGTTATCAAGAGGGACCAGTCTCTGGAAAAAGATATCATACTGGTAAATGTTGTTGTTAAGTATTGTCAAGTCAATTCCAACTCATAGTGTCCCTGTCTAGGATTTCTAAGGAGCAGCTGGTGAGATTGAACCACTGACCTTGCAGTTCAAATTGAACATCAACCCACAGTGTCATACCAGGACTCCTATACTTGGTAGAGGGTCAGCAACAAAAGAGGGAGACACACCCCTCTACCCCATGAAATGGATTGACAAAGTGACTGCAATTTTGGAGATGGTGCAGGATCAGGCATGATTTGTTCTGTTATGCATAGGGTTGCTATGAATTGGAGGTGGCTTGGTGGCACCTAAAAACAACAACAGCACCATTGTTTGGCTGAAACTGGAGTCATGAGGGTAAGTTCAGTTTCAGGTCTGAAGGGTGATTAAGGGCCATGGTCATCCCACCAGTCTCTATCTGACCATTGTGGTTGTTGTTAAGTGCCACTGAGTCGATTACAACCCATAGCGACCCTGTATAGGGTTTCCAAGGAGCAGCTGGTGAGCTTGAACCATGGACCTTGCAGTTCAAATGATTTTGCAGTCTGACACATTAACCCACAGCACCACACCAGGACTCCTTGTCTTTTTTATGATTTTGAGATGTGTTTCAAAATTTTCTCCTACTCTATCCAGGAATGTCTAATGTGGTTCCTTTCAGTGAAGTCACAGTGTAGCTGGGCACCATCTAGTTCTTCTCATCTAAGAGTCTTGGAGGCTGAGGTTCCTGTGGTTTATTCGTCTTTTGTACTCATTGTTTCCAGATGTCTTCAGTTTTCTTCACTCGTCCTTGCTCCAGATGGGGAGCGTCTCAGTTTCTTCATCTATAAAATGAGGGCACTCTATGTTTCTTGTATGTGTAGAAATCTGGTTTAAATCCTATGTATATCTAAAAGGATTCCTGGTGGTACTGTAGGAAAAACACTGAACTGCTAACTGCAAGATCAGCAGTTCAAACCCATCAGCAAGCCACTCAAGAGAAAAAGTAGACTGTCTGCTCCCGTAAAGATGTACAGCTTTGGAAACCATATAGAGTTGCTCTGAGTCAGAATCGACCAGATTACAATGACGTATGTCTAAAGGAGTCCTGGTGGCGCTGTGAGTTAAGTGTGGGACTGATAACTGCAAGGTTGGTAGTTTAAACCCACCAGTGGTGCTTCAGGAGAAAGATGAGGCTGTCTGCTCCCATAAATATTGACAGTTTCGGAAACCCTATGGGGTAGCTCTGCTCTGCCCTATAGGCTCACAATGAGGCGGAATGGACTTTGATGGCAGTGGGTGTGGTTCTGGATGTTTACCTAAAAGCACTTTCTGGACCAGGACACTACTTGGCTGGCTGCACCCTCTCTCTGCCTCTGAGAGCATTGGAGCAGCGCTTGGTTTTCCTTTCCATGTAAAAGTCACAGGGTAAGTTTGGGATCCAAGCCAGACCCTAGGCCCCCAAGCACCCCCTGACCAGTCTCAGTTACCCCTCCTTTCTGCTCTTACTCCCTCAGATCTCAGCCTCCCTGGATCTTGGGCATCCCAAGGAAGAAGAAGAGACCCCACTGCTCCCTGAAGCCCGCCTCCTGGCAGGGTCTCACCAACACAGCCACCAGACCCTCAGTGGGTCAGCCTCCCTAAGCCCTGACGAGGCGGCTACCCCTCCTAGGATCCTGGAGGACACTCCCTTGCTGTTGGAGCTACAGAAGCTGCCGGGATTGGCCAACACAGGTTTGAGTGCCCCAAACCCCAACATCCAGGTGAGAGCTACAAAACACCTGGGGAAAGATGGGGCTTTTAACAGGAAACTAGGCAGAGGGGTGGGAGGAATTCCAGTGTATATACCCCATTGACAGTCCAGAATCTTTATTGATAATCATGCTGCCTTTTGTGTAGCATCTACAGTGTACAAAGCACTTTCACCAAGAGAAACACCAGAAGACCATGAAAGTATAAAGCATGAAATTCTAAAATTCTTTAAAAGTGTCTGTGTGTGAATAGAGGCAAATACTGTTAACCAGTGGTACATGGAGGGGATTGTAATCATTGCAATGAAACAATATGATTGGTTGAGTGCAAAGTGATGATCTGCCCTGTAAACTACCACTCAGTTCACAATAAAAACTTTAAAAAAAGAAAGAAAAAAACAACAACCCTGTGGAGTACAGCTCTACTCTGACACACATGGTTGTTGTTGTTGTTAACTGCCTACGAGTCAGTTCCGACCCATAGCAACCCTGTGTAGGGTTTCTGAGGAGCAGCTGGTGAGCTTGAACCACCAACCTTGCAGTTCAAAGCAACTTTTCAGTCCAGCGCATTAATCCACAGCAACTGGAATCAATTCAACTGCAACTAGTTTTAATCTCCAGGAGCTGAGCCTTCTCAACTACCATCTAAGCAGCCTGGATCCTCCAGTGTCTGGATGTACTAGTAGTCAGAGAAAATGTACAAAATTAAAGGAAAATGGATGGTACTTAAAAATATATTTATGTGTGTGTGTCTGTGTTGTGGTGGTAATGTGCCATTGAGTCAGTGCCCACCATGGTAACCAGATGGGACAGAGTGAAACTGTCCCATAGGGTTTCCAAGGCTATAGTCTTTACAGATGCATAGCGCTTAAACCCTACGCTAACAGGGCGCTTTCATGTGTATATGTGCAGAAATGTGCCATGTAAATGCCTTCGAGTTGGTACGGACTCATAGCGACCTTATCTACAACAGAACAAAACACTCCCCAGTCCTAGGTCAACCTCACAATCCTTACTACACTTGAGCCCATTGCAGCTACCACTGTGCCAATCTATCTCGTTGGGGGTCTTCTTTTTTGCTGACCTCCCCCTGATGTGACACTGTGGGTTAATGTGCTGGACTGAAAGGTCAGTTTAAACTATAAGGTTGTCAGTTCAAGCTCACCAGCCACTCTTCAGAAATCCTATACAGGGTCGCTATGAGTTGGAACTGACTTGATGGTACTTAAAAACAACCACTTTCCCAAACATGATGTCCTTCTCCAAGGATTGGTCCTTCCTGATCATACGTCAAAGGATGCAAGACAAAGGAGCATTCTGACTATACTTCTTCCCATTCAGATTTGTCCTTGGTACTTTAATATTCTCCATTAACACCATAACTCAAATGCATCAATTTTTCCACATTAAAAAAAAGTTATTCATTGTCCAACTTTCACAAAGCATATGAAGTTATTGAAAATACCATGGCTTGGGTCAGGTGTACCTTAGTCCTCAAACTGACATCTTTGCTCTTCAGCACTTTAAAGTGATATCGTGCAACAGATTTGCCTATTACAATATGTCATTTGATTTCTTGATGGCTGCTTCCATGAGTGTTGATGGTTAATCTGAGCAAAGTGAAGTCTTTGACAATTTCATTCTTTTCTCCATTTATTGTGATGTGATTTATTGATCCAGTGGTGAGGATTTTTGTTTTCTTTACATTGATGTGCAATCCATACTGAAGGCTATGGATACTGATCTTCATCAGTAAGTATTTTAACTCTTCTTCGCTTTCAGCAAGCAAAGTTGTATCATCTGCATATCACAGATTGTTAATGAGTCTTCCTCATTATTCATATAATCCAGCTTCTTGGATTATTTGCTCAGCATACAGACTGAATAAGTATGATGAAAGGATACAACTTTGGCTCCCACCTTTCCTAATTTTAAACCACTCTGGTGTTCCCTTGTTCTGTTTGAACAACTGCTTCTTGGTCTGTGTTCAGGGTTTTTTTTTTGTTGTTGTTGTTGTTTTTTAAGTATTTATTATGAATTGAGTGATAGTTTACATGGGAGAACGTCAGTTTTACACTCACTGTGTCATTGCAATGATTACAATCCTCTCTGCCTCCTGACCGCCAGCACACAGCCTTTCTTTTTCCATGAGTCTAGAGTCTGCAGCTGCTGTATCTCTCCATGTCCTCATCTCTGCCTCCATCTCTGGTGTCACTGCTTCTCTGGATAGGAAATCACATTCCGCTTGTGCTCTTCTCCCTTGATGGTCCTAGGGTCCTCTGTTCCTGGAATGTAAGATTAACTACTCTCCCCTTTATGTTACAAAACTTCTACCTTTACATTTGTGACAGTCGCAATTAATCATGACCACAATTACTCACTATTGAATCATAAAACTTTTATCCCCATCTCCTTTCATCCGACCTGTCTAAACAAGATGAAAACTATTCAGTGGGGATTCTACCTTCCCCCACATACTCTGAAATTAAACTCCTTCTTGAAAACTTATATGCTAGTTACTTTGTGCCTTTATTGTTATTGTTGTTATGTGCTGTGGAGTCGGTTCCGACTCATAGTGACCCTGTATGGGGTTTCCGAAGCTGTAAATCTTTTTGTTGTTGTAGTTGTTTAATGTTTTATTGTGAACTATGTGATAGTTTACATGGGAGAGCATTAGCTTTACATTCATCCTCCTGTATATCGTTTCACTGCCATAGTTACAATCCCCTCCATGCATCATCAACCAACCAAAGGGTATCTATACCCAGCAAGCCTGCCTCCGCCATCCCCCACCCTCAGTCATCAGCACACAGCCCCTCTCCCTCTTTGGGTCTAAAGTCCCCAGCTGCTCCATCTCTCCATGTCATCGTCTTTGCCTCCATCTCTGGCATCACTGTTTCTCTGGATAGGGTCTCCCACTCCGCTCTTCTCCCTTGATGGGTCCAGGGACCTCAGCTCCTGGACCACATAGTCAATCACTCCCCTCCTTTTGCTACAAAACATCCACCTTTACATTTCCAAGCTTCAAAGTCAGTCCTGATAAGTATTCACCATTGTACCACAAGGGACCTATCCCCCCATCTCCTTTCATTAGCCTCGCCCAGACAGATTGGATACTACTCAGTGGAAATTCCACCTAGGCTCCCTCTTGAAAGCTTGTAAACCAGTCACTTCTTGACTTTGTAGCCCCCATTTTGGGTAGCCAATGTCCAAATTGTCCATCCTTGTCTACTCTGTGTATAGAGGGGGTGGGAATGATCCTCGCTGTAAAGAATTTGTTCCCTCTTTTGAGCTACTGCATCCATAGGTGTAGGTCAAGTTCATCAAATTGTATCATATTACTCTTTTTTTTCCTCTTCTTTCTTCTTCTAGTTGAGCTCTGATCATCTAGTCATTGAAGCCAGGTCGAGTGGGTATTATCTGCAAGTGTGGGTGTTCTTGTGCATATGCCCTCTCTTCTTATCAGCTGGATGCTTAACTCTCCACTCTAGTCCTCTGTGGCTATGTCACTGACTCTGGGCTCAAGAGTCCCTAGGTCTTGCCACACTGCTGGCCAACCAGGTCTCCACCCAGATTCACAGGAGTCTGTTGAACACTGTAGGGCTTAGCTCGCAGCTTCATTCCAGGCTGTAAATCTTTACAGAAGCAGAAAGCCTCATCATTCTCCCATGGAACAGTAGCCTCCCCCCCGCCCCCCCAGCATTTTAGGTGGCCAATATCTAACTTGCCTGTCCCTATTAGCTCTGTATTCAAAGGGGATAGGTTGAAAACTCCTTCCCTCTCAGTTGGTATTTTGAGCTACTACTTCCTTAAGTATAGGTCAAGTTTATGTATAGGTTCTTTATGAGCACAATTAAGTGTTCAGGAATACTAATACTTCACAATGTTCCACACAATCAAAAGCCTTGTAGAGTCAATAAAGCAAAGGAAAACATCTTTCTGGTATTTTCTGTTTTCAGCCAAGATCCATCAGACATCAGAAATGTCATTCCACGGCCTCTTCTGAATCCATCTTGAACCTCTGGAAGTTCATTGTCAGTGTATTGTTGCAGTCATTTTTGAATTATCTTTAGCAAAATTTTATTTGCATGGGAAATTAATGATATTGTCCTATGATTTCCACATTCCATTGTATCACCTCTTTTTGGAATGGGCACAAATATGGATCTATTCCAATCAGTTGGCCAGGTAATTGTATTCTAAATTTCTTGGCAAAGATAAGTGAGTGCCTCCAGTGCTGAATCGGTTTGTTAAAAGATTTCAATTTTGCCAAATGAGGCTTGAATATTTTCTTCAGTTCTTTCAGTTTGAGAAATGCTGAATGTGTTCTTCCCTTTCGGTTTTCTAACTCCAGGTCTTTGCACATTTCATTATTATATTTGACTTTGTCTTCTCAAGCTGCACTTTGAAAATTTTCTATTCAGCTCTTATCCCTCCTCATTTCTTCCATTTGTTTTAGCGCTCTGTGCTGGAGAGCAAGTTCCAAGAGTCTCTTCTGACATCCATTTTGGTCTTTTTCTTCTTTCTTGTTTTCTTAATGACCTTGTGCTTTTCTTCCTGTATGATGTTCTTGATGTCATCCCACAATTCTTCTGATCTTTGGTCATTAGTGTCTAATTCATCAAATATTTCCTTGAGATGATCTCTAAATTCAGGTGGGATATGTTCAAAGTCACATTTTAGCTCTCATGGACTTGTTTTAATTTTCTTTAGCTTCAGCCTGAATTTGCATATGAGCAGTTGATGGTCTGATCCACAGTCTACCCCTGGCCTTGTTTTGACTGGTGATATGGAGCTTTTCCACCATCTCTTTCCACATACGTAGTCAATTTGATTTCTGTGTATTCCCTCTGGTGAAGTCCATGTATTGTCATCTTTCATGTTGTTTAAAAAGGATATTTGCAAAGAATAAGTCTTTGGTCTTGCAAAATTCTATCATGCAATTTCCAGTATCATTTTTATCACCAAGGCCATATTTTCCAATGATTGTTCCTTCCTCTTTGTTTCCACCCTTTGCATTACAATCACCAGAGATAGAATAATAGGTGATTTTCATGTCTTTCATAATATATCTGTTTTCCCCAAATGTGGTACAAAGACTTCTTAATATATAATAACTAAAGCCTGTGTTTTTAATGTACACCTTCACATAAATGATTTGATTTATTCCCGGTCTATAAATGTGATGAGTGAGAGCCCCTCTCCAGGACTGCAGTGTTGATTTGACATCCAGTCATTCACATTGTCTTCCTCCTCAGATGAAGAAAGAGAGGCCCAGCTGAGCCAGAAGTCCACACCAGCTTCTCCCCTTCCCATGCATCTTCTCTAAACCAGGGCTGCATGGTAGAACCAGCGTACCTAGCACCAGCCAGGCCATATCTGGGATGGGGCCTGGGAGTCAGGGAGTCAGGATTGCTTTTACAAGTATCTTTGGGTGATTCTAATGCACAGCTGTGTCCCACGAGCTTTGGGGGACCAAGAAGATTGGCCAAGATACAGCAGCTTCCACTCCTTGTCTCCGTCTCACCCTGCCTCACTGGCCAGCCTGGTGTCTGTCCCCATGCAGGTGACCATTGAGGTGGTGGAGGACCCCCAGGCCGAAGTGGAGATGGACCTGTTGGCAGGTTCCAACCAACGCTGGACCCAGGGCACCCCCAGCTGGCTGCCTACCAAGGAGCTCTTCTGGCCCCTTTTCTGGGGCTATGTGGAGGGTGAGGATGTGGGGACCAGCCTCAAGGGCAGAGCCTCAGAGGAGAAGGCGGTGGATAATCCTGCAGAGTACAGCGAGGGTGAGGGCCAGGAGGATGAAGAAGATGATGATGAGGATTCAGAGGAGCCTGGGTTCAGTGGGGCTGCAAGCATCTGGGACCAGGGCTGGCTGGCCCTCGAAGACTGGACATTCAAAGAGACTGACAGCTATGGTAAGCACTCCCATCTTGGCATTCCCTGGCTGCTACCCCTTGAGATCCTGAATGAAAGTGGGGATAGGGAGAGGACTGAGGGCTTCCTGGTCAGGGACAGCTAGGAAAGTCAGGGGTTTAGACCCTGTACAAACATTATCATCATCAAAATAGCAACAATACCATTAGCATTCAAAATCGGTTGCTGTTGTTAATACCTGGCCCTTGCAACAGTCCTAAGCAAAGCAGACACTTCTTAATATTATATATGTTGTGTTGTCAGGTGCCACTGAGTCAGGTCTCATTCATAGTGACCCTGTATAGGGTTTCTGAGGAACAGTTAGGTATATCTATTGGTGGTGGTGGTGGTTATATGCCGTAGACTCGGTTCTGACTCATAGCAACCCTGTACAGGGTTTCCGAGGCTGTAAATCTTTACAGGAGCAGAAAGCCTCATCTTTCTTCTGCGAACAGCTGGTAGTTTCAAACTGCTGACCTTGAGGTTAGCAGCCCGACTCATAACCACTATGCTACCAGAGCTCCTTGGCTATATCTATTAGCTAACAACAAACTAAGAAATCTAGACCCCAGCACTCAGAACTGACCCTATCTCTAGATTCTGTGGATTTGAATCCTGGCTCTGCTGCTTACCAGCTGAGTGGTCGTCACATTTCTGTGCTTCAGTCCTTCCTCTATAAAATGGGGACTGATACGACCCTTACTTCATAGGGCTGTTGTTGTTGTTGTTGTTGTTATGTGCCGTCGAGTTGGTTCTGACCCATAGCAACCCTGTATACAATTTCCAAGGAGCAGCTGGTGAGCTTGAACCGCCACCCTTGCAGTTCAAACGGGTTTGCAGTCTGGTGCATTAACCCACAGCTCCATACCAGGACTCCATTCATAGGGCTGTAGGGAGTATTAAATGACTTAATACATGTATAGTGCTTGGCATATAGTAAAAGCATGATATAAGGCTTTGCTAATTTTCTTAGAAAACAACATGGCAACAGAACAGACTGTTCAGGAAGTAAAATATCACCCAAAGCCTGCCAGCCCTTCATGATGGTGACTTTTACCTTTGCATGTGTGGTTCAGATTTTTCGGGGTGCACACATGTTTCCTGCACAGTTGTAGCTGTTTTCTCTGGAGCCCCCTCATTGGACTGAGATGCCTGTGTGCTTAAGTCTAAGTTGTGGGGGGCTTTCCCCCAATCATCCAAAAAAGAAAAAAAATCTAACACAATTTTCATAACTTTAAGTTTCTCTCCCATTTGTGTTCCTTAAAGTCTTGGTTCTGGCTGATTCTGGCCTGCCGGGAGGCCAGCAGGGTGGGTATTTATTGGTGATTTTAGGGGTGGGTAACACAGTATGCATGGGTTTCAGACTCTGCATAGCCAGAGCACTTGGGTGCTTGGTCCTTAATGTGGTCAGCAGCTGTTGTTATTGTTAAGTGCCATCAAGTTGGCTCCAACCCATAGCGACCCTGTATAGGGTTTCAAAGGAGTGGTTTGTGAGCTTGAATCACCAACCTTGTGGTTCAAACTGACTTTGCAGTTCTGCACATTACCCACAGTGCCACACTGGGTCAGCATAGCATTTGTTAACCTCTTCAGTTCCAGGGACGTATCATTAATTTTGGTTCAGATTGGCATAAAAAACTATAGCTCAGAGAGGTGTAGGGAGACTCGTCCAAAGGCCACACACCTGGGCCCTGCTGGCTTCTAGCCCTCGATACCCTTCATTGCTGTGTGGGCACAGAGCCGGTGATTGAGGGTTGTATTGTCTCTGTAGGCCACCTTGTACACTTGCACAGGTTGTTCATGTCACAGATCTGTTCAGCTGGGGTGGGTAGGTGGGGGCTGAAATCCAGCCGTGCATCGTTCACTCAAGTGGGCACCGCAGCACTGTGTCCTGAAGACCGGGTGCCACGTTTGAATTTGCACAAATGCTCCCTTGTGGGCTGTGCTCACTCACTCCTGGCTTCCTGCCTCAATCCAGACTACGAGCCTCAAGGGGAGTGGAGCCCTTGGTCTCCGTGCAGCAGGAGCTGTGGCAGTGGCAGCCAGAGGAGGACTAGGCCCTGTGGTTACGCCTGCACTGCCACTGAGTCCCGGGCCTGCGACCTTCCCCTGTGTCCGGGTGACATGAGTCCAGTGTCTGCACAGCGAGTGGCTGGTATGGCTGAGATTCTTGACTTGGCCCTTTGGGAAGTGGGCACCTAAGGCTTGTGTGAAGGGTATACGGGAGAGGGGATGCAGGAAGCTCATCAAGATGGTGGTCCTTTGTGGTCCCAGGCTTGTAGGCCTCCAAGAACCTGGTGAGGGCTGGGCCTCCCCATCAGGAGCACAGAGATGCCTTTGGGTGCCGCCATCCTGGCCTCCTTTCTTCCCAAAGGTGCCGAGAATGAGGACACAGTGGGCTTCCCCAGGGAGGGATGGCAGCCCCTGGACCACAATGCTACAGATGTGCTTAGCCCAGGTGAGTTAGGGGCTAGGCATTGACAGGGTGGCTATGGGGAGACCCTCGTCAGGAGGGTGGAGAGTTCATCTTCCAGCAAGAAGAGGGTTTGGTACAATGAGTGGAGCCAAAGCACCTGAAGATTATCTAGTGGCGTGGAACCTTCCTGGCAGGCTGGATGGCTAGGACATTCTGGTTCCACTCCCTGATCACTATTTGGAGGCTCCTGGTCAGTTTCTGTCTGGGGAGGGGGAGGCAGTGCTGTGTGTCAGAAGCAGATCAGGGTCCTGAACTCCTGATTCCAGGCAGCTTGGAGCAAGGCAGGCTTTCCCCAGCACACTCTCTACCCACACCTTGAGAGGAAGGCAGGCTACCAGTAGCCCCACTTTGTGCATGAAGCCCATGCTCAACACAGCAGACCTTAGGGAGCCAGGAAGGCCCCCCACCACTCTGGGGCTGAGGAGTCTCAGAAGACCGAGGTCTGGCTCCGTCCCTTATGGAGCTCACTGGAACACTGAGCTGTCCAAAAGGTCTGGCAGCAAAGAGGCCATAGTCCCCAAGGAGGGAGGGGTGGTGTGTGGACAGGGAGGCACAGAGGGCAGAGCAGCTTGCCCAAGAAAGAATGAGGTATGGGCCATTGAGGTGTGGGGTAAGAATGAGAATGGACCTGTGTTAAATTGCCGCACCACTGCCTATGACAAACCAAACCCAGGGCCAGCAAGTCATTCTGAATCATAAAAATTGCTTCTGCACAATCATCCCAGATCTTCCCCAACATCCAGCACTCAGGTAAGGGGAAGGATAGGAGATTGGGGGTGGGAGGTTGAGGAGTCATTGCTTGTTGTTAAGTGCTGTGGAGTCGGTTCTGACTCATAGCGAACCTGTACAGGGTTTCTGAGGCTATAAATCTTTACTGGAGCAGAAAGCCTCATCTTTCTCCCACAGAACAGCTGGTAGTTTTGAACTGCTGACCTTGCGGTTCACAGCCTGATTCGCAACCACTATGCTACCAGAGCTCTTGGGCGTCATTAATTAGGGGGGTACTTAATACCTGATAATGGTGGGACGTATACACCATGATTGTTAAGTGCCAAGGAATCGGTTCTCACCCGAACACCATCAGTATCTCTGAACCGTGCATGTGGAAATTGATGAGTTGGCAAATGTTTTGTTACATGTATTTTTATCACAATTTTAAAAATGAGAAAGCAAACAAGGTTAACACCCGGCCCAGCAGCAGACCTCCAGGCCCCGCCTTTTCCCTCATCCTTTCTGAGCCACAGCTTCTAGCTTCAGGTTGTGTGGGTGCTGTGTGGTCTGTCAGGGGGTGGGGGTCACGGTAGACTTCCCCCGCCCTGATGTGGGTCCCCTTTGCACCAAATGGGTCCTGGATCTTCCCTCGCTGGATGTTGCCCCTGACTCGGTCCCACCTCCCACTTCTCCAAGGGCCTGACGGGCTCCCCTCTGCCCCCTACCCTACCCTCTGCAGATGTGGACAGCTGTGAGAAGTGGCTGAACTGCAAGAGCGACTTCCTCGCCAGGTACCTGAGCCAGGTGCTGCGGGACCTGCCCAGCTGCCCGTGCGCATACCCGCGGGAGGCCGTGTCCCACGCGGTGAGCCTGCGGGACGAGCGCCAGGGCCGCAGCTTTAGGTGGCGGGACGCCAGCGGGCCCCGCGAGCGCCTGGACGTGTACCAGCCGCTGGCGCGCTTCTGCCTGCGCTCGGTGCTGTCGGGGCAGAGCAGTACCCTGGCCGTCCAGCACTGCTGCTACGACCAGGGCAGCCGGCTCCTGACCCGCGGCAAGGGCGCCGGCACGCCCGACCTGGTCAGCACCGATTTCTCCCCGGAGCTGCACTTCAAAGTGGACACGCTGCCCTGGATCCTGTGTAAGGGGGACTGGAGCCGCTACCATGCCGTGCGGCCCCCCAACAACGGCCGGGCCTGCGCCGACAACCCACCCGAGGAGGAGTACCTGGCTCAGTTGCAGGAGGTCAAGGAGTACTAATGAGGGGGTTGCAGGACTGCGACCCCAGAAAGGCCGTGAGGGGACGTTCCCGGTAGGTCCCTGGCCCCTGCGCAGACTGGGAGTGCAAAAGCCCGAACGCCTGTGGTCTGCTGCTGCTCCCGGCTTCAAACCAGTTCACTTCGGTTGCCCGCACCCATTCCCCACCTCGAATTTGTCTCTCCATCCGGGATACACTGACTCAGCATCTCCAGCTGAACATGACTTCTGTGCATGTAAGCTTCTGCGCTGCGTCATGCCCTCTACCTACCAACCTGAGACCGATTGGGTACTTCAGGTGCTAGGTGGGTGGAGGTTGTTCGGCCCGAGGTCTCTGGAGGTGCAGTGGAGATGTAGGCCTGTGTGGGAGTCCTGAGGGGGCCTCCCTCCCCTACCCGCCTGGCTGCTCGCTTGTCCTCCAGGCTCCCTTTGCACATGGGTGGGAGCCCTCTCCTGGCCCAGCCCCTCCCCCTGTCCCTACTTCTGCCGCAGGGCTTCACAGCAATCACTCAACCCCTACCCCTGCTGGCAACCTGAAGGAGGGCACAGGGATACAAAAGGGTCAGTCTTTAATACCACCCGCAGATGTCTTTTACCAGGATGCTACCATCTTGGTGATCCAACTTGTCTCTGGAGTGCCCTGGCTTGCCCCTCCTCAGGAGCCTGCCCAGGGCAGAGGACCCAGGTGCTTTGAACACTCCCAGGAGGGCCAGACTTAACTCTGAGATGCCTTTCTAGTGGGTACCACTTGAGGCTGGGACTGGCAGCTATCAATGTGGCCTAAGGGGGCAGCTTGGTCTAGATGGGTTCCAGGCAGGGAGTGGGTCACCTGATTCTAGTCCCTTTCCTTTGTCCAGCCCTTTTCTTTTCTGCCCAGATGATGGTGGGAATGTGGCTGTTTATAGCAGGTGGGCTTAGGGTGGGTTCTGCAGGATGTTTCATGTGCCTGTGGGGTGTTGGTGAAACAATGAGCCTTGATTTTTAGCATTTGGTGATTTTTGTGGTGTAAATACACCCCCTCATGACTCATTTCATGCTCTCAACATGTCTCTGGATAAAACTGTGACTTAGGAGAGCATCCAGCTCTTCCAGGTCACCTTGTGTCTCTCCCCTGCCTCCTCTCCCCTCTTCATACCTCACTTCCTTCCCTTCTGTGGGGTTGAAATGTTGGGGTCCCAACTGCAGTCCTAGCACCTAGCCACCTGCCCTGAAGTGCTCTGGGGCCCTCAGAATAAAGCACTTTATTTTTAAATTCTGTCTAATGAAGCAGCGAGCACAAGCAGGGACCGGGGGTGTTGGGAGCCTTTGCTTACAACTTAAGTCAAGTTCACGCAGGCTAACGCACATTGTCAGGTGATGTTCAATCAACTGAGATTCATGACAGCCACATGTGTGCAGAGTAGAAGTGTGCTCCACAGGCTCACAGCTGAGACCCCGAGAATCAAAGGTTAGACGTCTGACCCTCAGCCATCCCTACTCACACTTGGATAAAGTCTAGGCATGAAGAAGAGTTGGCTGCACCTCAGAAGCATGCTCACTCGTAAGCTTTGGTTAGAGATGTCAACTGCATTTAGATCCTCAAGGAAGTGGCCCCATTTCCCTGCAAGTAACCTGCTGCAGGGGGATCCCACACAAAGAACTCCACCTGTGAAGTGACACAGATGGACCTGTTCCTTACCGTTGTCAGTACCCTTACCAGACTTCGGGCATTTGGGGAAGGACAGACACACATGAGGAAGGTATATCCTTAAGTGTTGTCCAGAGCTGCCACCTGGAGAAGCTGAGCACCAGATGTGTCCTCCTTTGATTACCGCCACACCCAGAAACAAGTTTATTGATCAGGGATTAGACCAGAGTCTAAAAATACTCTAGTGCAACTGGAATATTACAGGGTTCCAGAGGGCAGGAACTGAGACCACGAGATCGGAGCCAGTTCACAACCCTCTCTCTCGTCTAGGAAGTCAACAAGATTGGCACAAGTACCTTTTAATTATTTTTAGTCAAAGTCTTTTTCTTCTTTTAATAAAAAGATAGAGACATCCCAAAGTCGATTTTCACACAAACTGCCAAGTCCTCTTCTTTCCACATTACTTACCTTGGCATTTATACACGCTGTCTAAATTTAATCTAGACCTACCGGTGTCTATTACCCAAACTGAATTTAGCCAGCCCCCTTTTAATCTGCAAGATAAGTGACATACTAAATTGCTGCCATGTGAGGCCACAGATGAACGAAATGAAAGAAAAGGGGGCTGGGGAGTAGGTCAGCTATAAAATGGTATTTATTCAAGCTCTACAAAGGAGAAAGAGGCTCTGTGCAGGTGCCTGCAGGCTTAAGGAACACCTGTGTGTGAGGAGGCGCACTGATGGAAGGGTCACTGAACCTGTGAAACGCAGGATTTGTGGAGCGGGTAGAATCAGAGCCCAGGAAGGGGCCTAGGGAACCAGAGAGGGCCCTCCTCCCCATTCTGGTCCATTGTCAGCCCCGTCACGGATTTACTAGGTGCCTTTCCTATCCCAGACACTGAGATGGGAGACTCTTTCAGGCCTAGTACTGAGTACCGCCACTCTGTACCTAACTTAACATCTGCTGCCCTAGCCACCAAGATGGTTTTGCCCAATTTTTCCTTCTTTGGTTTGATTTGTAAAGTGTTCTGTTGTTGTTAAGTGCCATCAAGTCGGTCCTGACCCATAGCGACCCTGAATAGGGTTTCCAAGGAGTGGCTGGTGAGCTTGAACCACAGACCTTGCGGTTCAAGCCAACTTTGCAGTCCAGCACATTAACCCACAGTGCTATACCAGGACTCTGTAAAGGGTTCTAGGTTAGACCATAACCAAAAAACCAAACCTGATACTGTTGAGCTGGTTTCTACTCACAGCCACCTGTTAGGACAGAATAGAAAACGCACAGGGTTTCCTAGGTCGTCAGTCTTTATAGAAGCAGACTGCTCCATCTTTCTTCCAAGGAGCAGCTGGTGGGTTCAAACCACTGACTTTCTGGTTTGCAGTTGAGTACTTAACCACTTGTGCAATCAGGTCTCATTTTACATTAAGCACACCTATCTAATTGAATTCTTACTAGGATTTAAAATAGGAGTCCCCGGGTGGTGTAAATGGCTAAGCATTAGTCTACTAAATTAAAGTTGGTGCTTCAAACCTACCTGTGTTTTAAGTGCCATTGAGTCGGTTCCGACCCATAGCGACCCTGTATAAGGTTTCCTAGGAGCAACTGGTGAGCTTGAACCGCCAACCTTGCAGTTCAAATGGCTTTGTAGTCTGGCGCATTAGCCCACAGCCCCACACCAGGACTCCAAAAGCACCTGGGAAGTAAGGCCTGGCAATCTGCTGCCAAAAGATCACAGCTTTAACAAGCCAACCGAGCAGTTCTATCCTACTTACATGGGGTCGCCAAGAGTTAGAATCAACTCAACAGCAGCTAACACAATGTAAATTAACCAGCAACCAGACCCTGCTGGTCTCCCTCTGCCTCTGAAAAGACAGCATGTTTCAGCTCCTTTGCCTCATTTTTCACAAACTGTGTTGATTTGGCTGTTCTCCTAAATTAGGTTTTCAAAAACCTAATGTGGTGCTTCTCAAAATGCGTTCTTCCTTTCTTTTTTATTTAAACATTTTATTGTGAATTGAGTGAAGGTTTACAGTACAGAGCAGATCATCAGTTTTACATTCAACAAATCACATTATTTTGCTTCACTACATGGTTGCAATCCCCTCCATGCACCAACAGTTAACAGCATTTACCTCTATTCACTTTAACCATCGCATTCTTCCCTGTGTCTCCCACCACCCCATCTTTCCTCTGCCAACCTCCCTCTGTGTATTGCCTGCCCAATCACCCATGTCAACACGTGTCTACCCTCTATCACATGTATCATTGAAACACATTCTTGACTGTCACATCACCTAGGATATGTACTAAAACGTAAGTTCATGGGTCAAAGCCCGTAGGTTCCTTCGCTAGTCTACTAGCCAAAACTTGGTGGTTCCAAGTAGGATCTTTGGAAGTAAGACTTTGGCCTAGGATCTGCAATTTGGCTAATTTCAAAACAATTCTGTCTCAAGGGAAAACATTTGGACTTTTGAGCCCAGAAATCAGCAGGTACCATCTGCAAAGTGCCACTAGATGCCCATGCTTTCATATGCATTGTCCCTCAGCTTCTCACAGGTACTTATTAGACCCATTTTTTTGTTAAGTGCCATCCAGTGAGTTTCAACCCATAGCGACTCTGTATAGGATTTCCAAGGAGTGGCTGGTGAGCTTGAACCACAGACCTTGTGGTTCAAACTAACTTTGCAGTCCAGCACATTTGCTCCCAGTGCCACATACAGATGTGGAAATTTGCCCAATTTGTTAGGGAGTGACACACTTGAGATTCAAACCCAGGCCCAACCAAGTTCACCTGTTTATTTTTAGCTATACTATTCTGGTTTTGGACTCCTGGTGTGGTACTGTAGGACCAGCCCTGGACCATGAACCACAAAGTTGCTGTTCAAACCCACCAGCTGCTCCTTGGAAACCCTATACATGGTTGCTGAGTCAGAACCGACTTGACAGCACTTAACAACAACAATGTTCTGCTTTTTTAGAGTCCAGTGGCTCAGTAGGATACGCACTGGACTATGAACCACAAGATCCATGGTTCTTTGGATAAAGATGAGGCTCTCTGCTCCCGAAAAAAAATGTACAGCCTTGGAAACCCTACGCATGTCGTTGTGAGTTGGAACTTAATGACATTTCACTTTTTAAGATCAGATGGCAAACAAATGCTGTTGGTAAAGTGGCAATGGGAAAAAGTGGAACAGCCATCAGTACCGGCGATGGAAACATTAGTGAGCATCTGCCCTGAAACAGGCACTTTGCCATGTGTTTTGATTTGTACTGTTGTCAGTTGCCATTCGGTGAGTTCCAACTCAGAGGGACCTATGTAAAGCAAAAGAAATGTGGACAGGTTCTGCATGACCTTCATGATCACTGGGATGTTTGAGTCCGCTGTCGTGGATCGTGTCATTCCTTCTCATTGAGGATTTTGCTCACCCTCTGCTTCACAGGATGACATTTTCTAGCACTTGGTCTTTCCTGGTGATGGGTAAGTGAGCTAGTCTTGTCATTCTCACCTCGGGTTGTATTTTCCCTAAGATTGTTCATTCAGTTTTCAATAAAGTCTGTTCAAATACATCAATTGTTCTAATGCATCGGCTTTGACTAAGGTGTTTGTAATCTCTACACAAGGTCAGTGTGAACTGCAAGGTTGGCAGTTCAAACCCACCAGCTGCTCCTCAGAAACCCTTTACAGGGTCGCTATGGGTTGGAACAGACTTGACGGCACTTAACAACAACAATCTTTACTCAGATGCTTGTAATATTCTTGAACTGGTTATATTCAAAATAAAGTCCAGGTTCTTTATCAAAAGGCATCTTTTAGGATCCCTGAAAGGTAAGTCAGGCAAAACAGATCTAAAGAGTACAGCAAGCCAGAGATGGCTTTGGGGATCTACATGATGCAAATCAATGCTGATTTTCTGCTGTACTTTAACTATGAACTTTTGGCCAAGTCCTGTTGTGTTGGTAGATTAGCCCGCAGGCCCCACTGCCACCTAATAAAACATGCAAAAATAGATGCAGGAAATAGCTGTAGCTGCAGGAGGTAGAGTGTCTGGACTAGAAGGTACTGACTCACCGGGGTGCAGGAAGTTGGGGCAGGATTGGTCCAAGAAAACAGCCCTCCCTGCTGCCAGGCTGTTACCTTGTCACACAACAGGGCAGTTGGTCTGAACGCCACTACAAAGTATTCCCAGCACTAAGCAGACAGTGCTTGGCGAATTGAATGAACAGTACTCTCAACAAGGACAATTCATTTCATCCTTTTTCTGGGAGACGCCTGGGATTGTCTATTCCAGGAGGGAAATACCAAACTACAGCAACCTCTGTGGGGATAAACCCAAGGAAGAGAAGACCAAGGGAACAGTTCAAACTTGAACATAGGCTCTGGATTAGGGTCTTTGTTCCCTAGTCCAGCTCTGCTTAATACTAGTTATTGGATCTAGGCTATGTTAAGAAACACAAGGTTTAGGTGCTTACAAGACTGGAATGATGTGAAGTGCCATCAAGTTGGTTATAGTTTCCAAGGAGCGGCTGGTGTGTTTGAACTGCTGACCTTGTGGTTAAGCAGTCCAGGCTTATTTTACAGCACCACACCAGGATTCCAGGATACTTATAGAATGCTATTGTAGGGGTTAAACAAGGTCATGTTAAGTGTAGTGTCTGTCCATAGTAACTGCTCACTAAATGGAAACTTGACCCAAGGCCCACAGCTCACTTCTGCCACAGGTACGAAGGGCTTTCCATACCTCACCTCAGCATCTGGTGGGCTACTGTTCTTGCAAGAGGACATGAGGCTAGAGAGAGTTGACAGCCGAGGACGCTGCCTCCACCAGCAAGTTTGTGGGAAATGTTTACTCCAGAACTCGAACCCTCCCATGGGCTCCCCTCAGTGGAAGAAGCCTGCTTTGGGAATGCTTGTAGGGGCCAGCAGCTTAGCCTCCAATGACCTCCACTCACTGAGAATGGAGGTGAGGCCTCCCAGCCCCTCCTGCTTTTGTTTTGAATGAAAAACCTTCACAAGGCCTGTTAGCCACACACACCAACACAAGGTTTTTTAAATTAGGTTTATTTAGCGTATGTACACATAAAAGAGAAATTGCCCTCTGATCCCACCCAGCAGAAAACATGCACAAACCCACGGTATATGTGGAGGGGAGGGGCTCTGCCCCCAAGTTAGTGGTTGGGATGGTGCAATCCTGTGAGTCAAAGCCCTGGTCCGGGACCCGACTGAAGTGGGGGCAGGAAGTAGCCTCCAGGTTTTCGACTCTAAAATAAGCGTGCGCCGTAGCCAAAGGTCTGCTTGATGCCCTCAAAATAGTACCGCTGCCAGCCCTGCCTTGTCCGCTCTTCCTCAGGAGCAGGGATGCCACGCCCTTCCATGCGCAGCTCAGTCTCTCCACTCTTGTCAATGAAGGTTAAAGTGATGGTGGCAAAGTGCCCTGGGGAAAGGCAGAAGAGGAAGCAGCTTCAGATCCAGGTCTTAGGGATGGATTCTCTTACACATCATCCCTACTCCCACAGTCTCAGCCCAGTTATTCCACCTGCCTGTCCTGAGCCAAGGGTGTCCATCTGGGTTTATGACTAAGGGGAAAAAAAGGATTTGGGGGAAATGGCAATAAGCCAATATGCTTACTTACCCTCCGGCCAAGATTTAAACCTCCACTTCATTACAATGTGTTTCTCCGGGACCTAAAGTAATCAAAGACGTCAAGGATACTACAGACTACAATGTATCCAATCCTGGCTACAGTGAGTTGTATCTGCCTTTCTTACTGAGTCCAGCATCTGTGCAATTGCTGTTAAATACCAAAGAATCAATTCCAACTCATAATGAACCTGTATAGGGTTTCTAAGGTGTGGCTGCTGAGCTTGAACCACCGACCTTGTGTTGTGGTTTAAACAGACTTTGCAGTCCAGTCCAGTAACCCACGATGCCACAGGGGTAAGTCAAAAAGTATTGTTACAAAACACGAAGCTATTGTTCCTGGACCAATCCTGTGTATGTCTACACACTTCTGAAGGCAAAGAATTCTACACTTTCCAACTGTCAACACATCCAAATGGCAGTTTTGGCATCCTCAAGGAGCTCAAATGATGTTACTTTTCAATGTTGAGTTTTACGAACAAAAAGAAGCTTGAAGAGGAAAGGAGGGTGGGGTACGGTTTCCCAGTAAAATTCTAGTAGGACAGCCCTGGCCACTCCTCAAACAACAAGCAGGACCACTGTGGTGATGGAAAGAATTCCTTGGTGCAACTTTCCTGGTAGTTTTTTTTTTCTTTTAAATCACCGATAAAGTTTTCTGTATTCTTAAAACTTCCTAGTAAGCCACCATGATGGTTCTGTATCCTGTGAGAAACATCTATCATGATGACCCCCTTTGCAAATACAAATGACTGTCACCACAACCTTCTGAGCTGACCGCTCTGCTCTGAATTTACCTGGCCCAAAGGATCCCCTTGGAAGTCACTGTTTTGATTAACTCTGTTTTTGAAGGTACCGTAATACTAAGATAAGTAAGTGCATTACTGAACTTGTTTGCAGCCATCCACTGATTGTAGACAGTTTTAAACACGTTTTGTTTAGAGTAAACCTGTGCAGGGACAAACAGGAGCCCCAGTAGCAATATTTTTGACTTACCCCTGTCAGCCCAGTCAACTGTGAGCAGGTGACATTTTAGTGCCGCAAATCAAAAGCCACAAAACCCCAATATACACACTCTTTTTTCAAGTTTAATTTCTTCACGAAAAATTAATTTTATAATTAAGGAAGCAATTCTAGGAAGCTAAGAGAATTTACACCACAGCATTTTCTTGAAAAACAAAACAAACCATAACAAAACATGGTTTTATTGACCAAAGAAATTAAAGCCTTGCGTTTTACCTACAGTCTCTTCTAACTAGGTAGTTGCTACAACCTGAGCCTGGGGCCATCAGGTACTCACCAGATCAGTGAATTCCCCAGAGACGTTGCCATCTACCATGTGAAACTTCCCACCTTTATCTGCTTCTAACACGGCAGGAGCATGGGTAAAGGCTTGAACGAGCTGTAGGAACAAGGAGGCAAGGAGAAGCTGTAAGAGCTGGAACACGTTCAACTGTAATTCTGATTCTGTCTGGGCCTGTCTTTGCCTCAGCCATTACTGACTTAGGTGAACACCAGGATGCACAGTGAGGGTTGGGGCTATCTACGTGTCCTCAAGACCCCCCACCCCACCCCATGGATGGTTTCCTTTGCCTCTATCATCGAGCTTTACACTTGGCTATGGCCATTACCTCTGCTGGTTCTCAGTGGGATGAAACAAACATCCACTGGAACTGGCATGCCGCCACTACCGAACCCCTCCCCACACCAGATAATATTATTCCTAATGACCAGGTCCAGGGAGTTTCCCTGTTCTCGCTTCCACTGTAATCCACGTTTTGACTACAGTAATTCTTTCTGAGCAAACCTGTTACAAAAGACCTCTTTAAAGTGTTACAATGTTAAGAGTCACTCTGAGGACTAAGGTGTGCCTGATCCAAGCCATGGGATTTCCAATCGCCTCATATGCATGCAAAAATTGGACAATGAATAAGGAAGACTGAAGAAGAATTGATGCCTCTGAATAGTGGTACTGGCTAAGATAGCTAGACCATGGACTGCCAGAAGAACAAATAGGACAAACAGAATGCTCCTTAGAAGCCAGGATGGCGAGACTTTGTTTCATGAACTTTGCACATGTTATCAAAAGGGACCAGCCCCTGGAGAAGGACATTACATTAGGTAGAAGTTCAGCGAAAAAGAGGAAGACTCTCAATATGATGGTTGAGGATGGAGCAGGATGGGGCAGGGCTCTGTTCTGTTGTGGGTCCAGTCATCAGTACCTCTTCTGCATGCTGAGAGGATGTGCCCATAACCCAAGTCAACTGGAATGGCAAACAGCATGAAACTTGTAGGACAAGATCACTTACCTCCTGGGTAGTGAATACTCTATAAAGCTCTTCTGGTGATGTCAGAAAGGTTTCTTTAAGGGTGATCTTACAAGTGGGGATTCTTACACCAACAGGCCTGGCCTGGGTTTTCGAAGGAGCAGACTTAGTAGCCTGTGGAAGGGCAGTGAAAACTGTCAGTTAAGAGTAATGGTCAAATCAGTATGGTCTATCAACAGGGTTTCCAGGACAGACTTGCCATTCATTCATCCTCTCAAATCTTTTCACCTCCAAGGCTGATTACTCCAGGGGTCAGGGAGAAGCTGTGTGTTTCCAGCCATGAAGGGAACCTGTGCAGAAGCGTCTCAATTCCCACTGAAGACACTCACTCCAGAAGGGAGACTGACATTCATTTGAAAGTCTATCAGCCAAATGGCCTGTCAAGCCAGTAGGCACTTCTGAAGACATCAGTCATCCTCAAACAAAATTTCTGGGCTTAAGTATCTGAAAGCAGTTTCCCTCCCTACTTCCAGAATATCCTTCACTGTACTGACAGGAGGGCAATAGTCTCAAAACCAAGTCTGGGGAGGCAGAGACGATGATGTGGAGAGATGGAACGGCTGGGGATTCTAGACCCAGAGAGGGAGAGGGGCTATGTGCTGATGACCGAGGGGCAGGCTTGTGGGGTATACCCTTTGGTTGGTTGACGATGCATGGAGGGGATTGTAATCATGGCAATGAAGCGAAATACGTACGATAGGATGAATGTAAAGCTAACTTTCTCCCATGTAAACTAACATAATTCACAATAAAAACTTAAAAAACAAACAATACGTGTAAGTACAAGTAGGCTGCATGATAATGGTACGATGAACAGCCTTATGGGGAGGTGGGCTCTGAAGAATGACTGCCGAGCTCAGAACGGCTGCACTGCAACATCCTGGCTCCGAGACACTTGAGCAAATTGCTTCACCTCACTAAACCACAGTTCTTCATCTAAAAAATCTAGATCATAAAATACCTGCTTCACCGGGTTATTATGAAATTTAAATGTGTTAATAGATGTAGAGCACTTAGGATAATACCTTATACATGTGAAGTGATCAATAAATGTTAGATATTATTTAAAAACAACAACAAAACCAAGTCTGGGCCTGAACCACACAAGTTCTGTCAAAGCCCTGCACTAAAGACTTGCTCACCCTAAGTCAGTGACCTAATTCTTGACGAGCCATCTAACAGCCTGGTTAGAAGCGCTACTGGAAGGCTTATTTATAGTGGTGGAAGCACCCTGTGTGAGCACCCTCCTAACTGGTGGTCAGTGTAATCAAGAGGCAGACTCTGAGTCCCTGAAGGCTTCCGTTTCTTCTGGGGATCCATGAGTAAACCCAGGTTAAAGATGGGCAGACAACTAGACATTGGGGACTCATAAGCGGATGTAGCTGCTCTGGCTTAGAGCTGAGACGCTGAATCAAGGAGAGAGACAGTGTCTCATTCTTTCCAGAGAGCCTCCCGCCCACCACGCAGAGACACCGTACCTTCCGCTCCTCCGCTTTCAGTGCTGGTTGTCTGGTGGTATCTACTGACTCTCCATTCACTGTAGGCAAGATCATGCCCTGCGTGAACTCTGAAAAGATAAAATCCCCAGCTCTTGCAAGGTATAGTTCTTAAAGACTGACATTTGGGGCCTCATTGTAAATTGACAAACACAAACCATCTTAGAATGAATGAATGATCAGAAAAGATGATTCTATCTGCATCTTTACCTTTGGACTATGCTGGGCAGGTATCTGATGGTATGCTACTCAACGTACAGTAAAACCTGTGTGAGTCTGAAGCTGTCACGTGATAGAAAAGAGCTAAGAGTGTACTCTGTGAAAGGCGGAACGCTTACCAGGAAGGCAGTCCCACCAAGTGCTGGCTCCCACAGGTTTCACTGTAGAGGATCCACTGACTGTACAACCTGTGATAATGTATGTGAGGCCTCCTATGGAAGGGAATCTACCATCGATGGGTGTGTTTAGTCCCATTCCTTCGCTCTGCCTCACTTTTGCTCAATAGCTACAATTAGCAATGGCATCAGAGCACTTGCTGTGAAGTGCCGTTGAGTCAGCTTTGACTCACAACGAAATGGTACAGGGTTTCCAGGGAGCAGCTTGTGAGTTTGAACCAAGGACCTTGCGGTTCAGTGCTTATCCTACAGCACCACACTGGTTCCCTCTAAAAAGGTATCACCTTCCATGAGGGTTCCTTTCGATGGTCATTGTATTAGCTCTGACTTCAAGATCCGAACAAATGGACAGAAGTGGAATCCTCGGAGACAGTTGGGTAGAGAACTACTCTAGCAGTCTGAGTACCCCCGGAGGATGCATCTAATAGACACAGCTCATGCACCGAAGTAACGAACCTAGGGAGGCCATGGCTCTAACCACCACTGCCCGATAGAAATGTTAGCCTGAAATAGAAATTTAAAACGTCCAGTGCCCACATTATAAAAGTGAAATTAATCTTCATAATAGATCTAAAGTATCATTGTGACATATCGATACCCCTTTTTTGGTATTAGCATATGATTTTTTTCCCTCCCTTTCCTTTCACTGCTAACTGACTTACACTGTTGTTGTTGCTATGTGCCGTGGAGTCGGTTCCGACTCATAGCGACCCTGTACAGGGTTTCCGAGACTGTAAATCTTTACAGGAGCAGAAAGCCTCATCTTTCTCCCACGCAACAGTTGGTAGTTTCGAACTGCTGACCTTGGGGTTCCCAGCCGGATTCATAACCACTACGCTACCAAAACTGTGCTCCCCAGGGTTTCAATGGCTGAGACTTTTGGGACGTAGAATGCCAGGCTTTTCTTCTGCGATATCTGAGGGTGGGGCCTCACAAATCAAACCTTTTGGAGTTAGCACTCAGGGATTCCATCTTTCTTTTGTGTATTACATCTTCAAAGTCTACTGTTTTATACTCACTCTGCATCTCCATTTGGACTAGCCACGCCAAGTTTCAAGAGCTCAATAATCAACATATGCAACAATGTATATAGAATTATACAACAGCTCTAGAATTACACTGACTCAGAGCTTATAGACTGCCTCTGAGGAAGTAAACCCCCTCCCCACAAACCTTTATCCCTCTGCCAAAGAAAGGGCTGCCAAGCTCCTGCATCAGAGGCGGAAAATGACCTCCTCAAGGCATATGTAACTACTCGAGGGATACCTGTTTTGAGGGTGCTGATATAAATTCCCACTGCTTCTCTGAGAAGTTTCACCCCTTCTGCCTTCATTAAGGCCACGAGATTGGTGTCAGGCTCATCTTTGGCCAGGCTCACACAAATCTGAGTGAAAGATCAGAAGTAGGTGGTCAGTAACTTGAGGGGCGCTCACACTGTGGAATGGAGGTGCTGAGCGATCGGGGAACTGCTGACATTTCCAGAGGAAAAGCCGGTGGGTCGGGACACTAGAACAATCCCTACGAGTACTGCGTCACAAGTCCTCTCTGCCGAGGCAAAGGCAGCTAACGCTGGAACACATGGCACAAGGTGACGCAAAGTGCTAATTCAAGAAGCACAAGTGGCGCTGGAAGCTTCTAAAGTCACCCTAGTCCTAGAAAACCATCTGTAGACTGGGGTTCCGAAGGATGGAAAAGCCTGAGTTCATAACCTTGAGTGATAGGTCATTGTTCTCATGAGAGAAGAGGCAGTAGAAGACGCATGAGAGGAGTAAGGAAGCACAAACCTCCACTTCATCCACGCTGTTTTCATCAGATAAGTTGGGGATCTCCACATGCCCCTTGTACTGCACTCCTGACTTAGAGGTACCTGTCAAAATTAACACATCATTTAGTCTCCTCCTGTGCAGGAAAGGTCTCCTGCTCTGGACTCCGAACTACCACTCAGCTTACAGTTCTTCCGGAGAGCTGAAATGACCCTCGCTATTCTGAGGGGATGCCACGGGACAGATCCACCAACCCCTTCTCCCCTTTCCTCACCAAACTACTTGAGACAGCTCTAATGTGGGACTGAGATCTAAGTGGATTTGACAGTAGCATGACCTCTGCAGTACTTGTTTTGAAACAGAACTTTGAATTGGCTCTTCCTGGTTCATCATGGCTGATGAAGCATCACCAGAATGGACCTGAATGTGAAAAATGTGGGCGCACCAGAACAATATTCAGGGTGGGGAAAATTACAGATGGACTCCTAGTGTGGTGCTGTAGGATCAGCACTGGACTGCGAACCAGAGGTCAGCAGTTCAAACCCACAAGCTGCTCCTTGGAAACTCTATACAGGGCTGTTATGAGTCGGAATCACCTCGACAGCACTTAACAACAGCCCTATTAGAAACTGAATCTTCCTTCTAGGAAATCAGAGTTGTGTGCATACTTCATAGCAACCAAATCTCTTCGCCAGCAGAGGTAGAAAACAGAGGTGCCCAGCTCCAAGATGGTGACCAACTACATCATTTTGAACGCATGTCCTTCTCCAAAGTCCTGCTAATAATTCAGTCTCCTGCATTAGGTTCCAGTTAAGAGCCTCCTGAAAAGGCACACTATGCCTCTTCCTCATCTGAGTCTCCCATGCCAGGGCTGTGACCAATAATTTTCCCCATTCTGGTTATAATTCCAGTACACCCAGATTTTTACAAATTTGATCTGTTCCAATTTCCCTGTGTTGTCAGCCATGATGAAACCAATTTGAAGCCGTGGTCTGAAAACACGAAGTTTTTCCAATGAGGGTGATACACTAGAGACTGTTTGATCATAATACAAATTTCACATGTGCTTATACCCAATTTCACCTGTGAGAAATCTAGGTGAACACAGAAAACTGCACCAGCTGACCCCTCAAAAACATGTACCTACCAGCTAGATGAGTTCATTGCATGGTATGAGCAGCACACATCCTGTATTTGGCGTTATAACTGTCTTCTGCTTTCTGATGACCTGCCTTCCATCACTTCACAGTAACTCACAAGCTGCAACCCTTCTAACACCCACTTTCACAAGTAAACTTCAGATCTCTTTCAAGGTAAAGTGCCACATTTATTGTAGTATTTATGTATTTCTTACCATTCCATTTAACATGTGCAAAACTATGCAATTATTTTCATTAGGTTCCTATCATTTTTTTTGTGTGTTTGTTTTTTTTTTAAAGCCCCTTGGTTTTCATAGAACAATTTTGCACAGCACAGTGATTTTTAAGAACACATAAGTCATGTTATAGAATTAACAATATTTCAAAAATCACTCAGCAAAGCAATGGTTCCCTCTCATTTTTCTAAGCCTGTTTCTCTATAAAAAGGAGACTGGCCCAGATACAGGAGACTTTCCAGATTACTATGCTGTTGTTGTTGAGTGCCGTCAAGTTAGTTCTGACCCATAGCGACTCTGTATAGGGTTTTCAAAGAGCAACTGATAGGCTTGAACTACTGACCTTGTGGTTAGTAGTACATCTCCTACTATGCTGTAGGTGCACTTTGAAAACAAAACAACCTTTTCTTAGAAAACTGATAGACAGGCATATTTACCATTTCTCTCCTTATTTCTATTCATTTGAAAAATGTTTATAGAAGCACAAGTTTATTTCGTGCCCTGTACCACACACAGACAGTAGCATTCTCACAGTGTGTTAGCATCTTTTAAAATTCAATTTAACAACTGGAAGGAGCATCCAAAGGGGGCATGAGCATGGCCCCAGTTCTTTCCTAATATAAAGGACGTTGAACTAGAGAATAAAAGTGCCCAAGTTATAGTCAATCCCAGAAACATTCCACTCTCCTTTTAAAAAACCCAAGAGAGAGAAGCTAGTTTGAGGAAGTGTCAGATCATTTTGTATGACTCAACACAGACCACAGCCCAGCACTACAGAGGTCCAGCCACGTCACTGGTGGGGCCTGTGAGACCAAAGAGGCAACCCACTTAGTGGTCACACTGGCAGAGAAGAGATTCCAACTTCCAATACTGCTTTATGCAGTGCTGTTTTTGCCCTTAGACTTTAATTCTTCTCCCCATTCCTGGTCAACTGAAACACAGACAACCGTTTCCTGACAGCGAAGCACGGACTCACCTGTCCAGTTCAGTTTGATGCTCCATTCATAAAAGAAGATCAGCTTGCCTTTGCGATTGTTAATGGATGCCTCTCCATCAAGCTTGCTCACTTCCGTCACTTCACACTTGCCTTCCTCGTTTTGCACCCGCACTGCCAAGAACAGCGTCTTCAGCTTATCTGTGGACCAATTTGAAGCATCCCTCTCCGTCCTGCAAAACAGAAACACAGCTATGGACCAGCAGCCAAATGGAAGATACCCTGCTTGCTCTATGCAAGAGCTCTCAAGAAGAAAGCAGGTCTGACAAATATAGTTTAAAAGGAACATGAAAAGCCTCACTCAGTTCCACGCCAGTATTCCTGCAGACACATTACTTTCCTTTAGGAAGGAGAACAGAGCGACATGTTAAGACAACCAGGACAACTGCTGTGCTAAATGGTACAAACACAATAGAAAATTATGCTTTTCTTTCTCAGCAAGATGGTCCTTGGGTCATTATTTGCAACAATAATATGGCGCACCAGTTTGACCAGGTGGAAATCTCTGCACATCTTGCGGAAGTCAGGAGCACAGACTGTGGCTACTGAATGCAGCACTGAACTAAAAGGTCCAATAAGGAATAAACCAATAACCTTGACCTCATTGAAGCAGCAGTCTAACCTGTCAAATTCACACTGTGCTATAAATACCCTTCACATTTTGTGCAACAACAACAAACATATGGCCATGCAAACAATGCAAGTCCAGGTCTTCCAAACAACTTAAATTAAGCCCTAAGGCTGAGCTATATGTGCCTTCCAGTTTCCAAACCAGTAGAAGAGACAACATGAACAAAAAGAGAGGTAAATACCACCGTATGAACAAAGTTCAGGGGAGTTTAACGACAAGGACGGAAGGTTTTTAAGAATGGTATGGTTATAAAACCATGATTGCCCAGCAACAAGGGGCGCGTCCCGAAAGTTAGAACACAGCCCAGCGAATAGTTCCGGGTGAGAGGCTGCAGAGCTGCAGTAGCATCGCTCAACTCACAGCACCTGCAGCATGTGTCCTCAACCTTCCTCAAAGGGCTGAGAGCGGCTCGGTCAGACTTTTAATCGCACACGTAAAGCCACAAAATGGGAATTGCAGTGCTCTGGTCCCAAACCTCACACAGCAATCTCCTTGGGTCTCAGTGACTCCTCCAGCCACGTGTGGAGGAATCTCTCTACTCAGGACGGATGCAGTAGCTAGAGGGTTATGTCCAGGTTTCTCTGAATCCTTCTCCTCTCAGTCTTCCACGTCGCCCCCCTCCCCGCCCCTATATACTGAGACAGAGGTCGAGGAGAGGTGGTGGTGGCACAGCTTGCGGATAGGACCCCTACCACAGGAAGGACCCACGCCACTCTGCTCCAGCTCTGTTCGGGACGAGGTTCCAGGCACCCTGCAAAGCCGGCCCGACCGTAGCGCTCCCGCGGCCTGCCCCGCTGACCCTCACCAATGCCAGTTGTTGACGTTAGTGGCGTCCGCCCGCTCCTCCACGATCCAGCGTGGGTCGCCCTCACCCCACTTGGCCATCGGCTCTCCGATCTCACCACCACCGGCTCCCAAGCAGTCACAGCCACAGCCACCGCCTCAGGACCGCCTGGTCCCAGCCGCCTAGCAGTGCCTGGAAACTACTAGAAGCGGCCGCAGAACCTCCTGGCTTGCTTTTCCCTCCACCCCTCACCCCCTCCCCGTCTTACTTCCGGCTCCTCCCCACTTCCACCGGCTATTTCCGTTCCAACTCGCCGAACCGTAGATTTCGCGCCTGTTCCAGTGTTCCTTCAAGTCCTTCAGGTTGTCCCCAAAGAGGCCCAAAGTCTAATTCTTCATATGATGGTTCCTCACTTGTAGGGACAAAGAAAGAACCCGTCTCATTGTTTCTCTGGCCCCTAAACCGGTCTTGCTAGGCCTCATGGGAGTTGTAGTCTTGTTGCGTGACCCGCTAGATAACTGCGAAAGGTCGGGGCGAAAGTAAAGGAAACGACCTTGGCACGGCGCGCTGGGGTTTCTGGGGGGTGTAGTCAAGAAGTTCCATGACCCATCCCAACTGCGTCTGAAGGCAGAGACGGAAGAAACAACAATTTCCAGCATGCCTTGCAGTCTCAATATTACTGTCTAGCCGACTTCCCCTTTCCGCGGCTTCTCTATGCCGCATATCCTGACTAGAAAGACAGGTCCAGCAGCGGCAGAGACTTACGCTGCCCTCAGAGGGAGGGCTCGGTGAGGCAGAGGTGAGGGTGTCCCAAGCCACTGGGGACGCATATCTAGCTTCATCCAGCCTCTCCGCATCCCGATCCTTCCCCTCCCCTCCTCTTCTCTGAGGCGTCCCTAGACCCCCAGGCCTGACTCTCTTATACCCTGGTCGGGGCAACCCCGGGAGTGAGAGCCAACGTCAGCTCCAGGATGGGGTTGCCAGGGACGGCTGATGTTTGGTTCTGAAATTTTTCTCTGCCAGACTCTGACGACTGCGGCAGATCCGTGGCTTCCAGGAATTTTTCATTCACAGTCCGGAGTTTATTCCTAGTTAACCTACATTACTTGGTCTTAGTTCACGGAGCCTTACTTGTGTAGGCCTGGCTTAGAAGATGATAATTGAATTAGAATCTAACTTCTCAGTAGCTAATTTCTGGGGTTCTTGAGGCTGAGAGCGTCTTGGTTGTTGTTTTTGGGGGTTTTTTTTGCTGATCTTCCTTTGCCATGGTTTGTTCTCTGTAGTTCCTACCACCCTACCTGTGGGCTGTATGTAAACAGGTGGTGACAAGGACAGTCAGGTTGAAGCACCTTCCTCAGTCACTCTTAAAATTGTCCCTAGTTGCTTTATAACTTCGGGTGTGTGTGAGTGGAGTCCATTCCAATTCACTGTTGTTGTTAAGTGACGTGGAGTCGGTTTCAACTCATAGCAACCCTGTATAGGATTTGCGATGAAGTGGCTGGTGAGTTTGAACCTTCGACCTTAACAAGTTCAAACCGACCTTGTGGTCCAAGACTCCTTTCAATTCATAGAGACCCTTTAAGACAGAGAAGCACTGCCTAGAAGGTCTCCAAGGAGCTCTGGTATCTTAGTGGTTACAAGTCGGACTGCTAATCTTATAGCACTGGTTCGGCGGGAGACAGATGAGGCTTTCTACTCCTGTAAAGATTTACAGCCTTGGAAACTATCCAAGGTCGCAGCACATAACCACCAGTCTTTACAGGAGCTAATTTCCGTGTCTGATCTCTAGATCTCTTCTCCCTGGTAGCTCAAACTACTCACCTTTTGGTAAGCAACTCATGTTTTAACCACAGCACTACCAGGGCTCCTTTGATAACTTCTCAAGACTGTAAGTCAGTATCTCTTTACCTGCCAAGTAAACTACGATGTGATTGGTACTAAAAGTAGAAATTTTTGTTGAGTATCCATAGCCATCGTATGTTGTGAAAATTTCCAAAAATCTTCTGGTGGACTAAGGGATTTATTAGACAATTCTATGGTTACGAATTGGGCTGCAGCAGTTCGGAACTACCAGCTGTTCTGCGGGAGAAAGATGAGGCTTTCTGCTCCTGTAAAGATTTGCAGCCTCGGAAGCCCTGTATAGATAGGGTCGCTATGAGTGGGAACCGACTCCACGGCACATAACAACAACTAACTATATTTAAGGAGCTCTGGTAGCGTAGTGGTTACGAATCGGCCTGCGAACCTCAAGGTCAGCAATTCAAAACTACCAGTTGTTCCACAGGAGAAAGATGAGGCTTTCTGCTCCCATAAAGATTTACAGCCTCCAAAACCCTGTACAGGGTCGCTATGAGTCAGAACTGATTCCACGGCACACAACAACAACAACAACTATTAACCCATGGGAGAGAGATCAGTAGTTAGAAGGGCTATGCAACACAGTGGAAATGATTTTGGAACCAGAAAACTTGGATTGTAGTTTGAAATATGAGTAAATAGCAAAGTAGCTTTGAGACTTAATCCTCTGCACTCTTTCTCCTCATTGGTGAAATGGAAGTGAAATCTACCAGGTCTACCTTACAGGGTGTTTTGAGCATCAAATGAATGACACAGTGCTTTGTAAATTGCCACATCTACCACAGACATTTACATGCTCCATAAGTACTTTGGAGTCCTGGTGTGGCGCTTTAGGTTAATGCACTGGACTGCAAAGTCCGTCTGAAGTGAAAGGTCGATGGTTCAAGGTCACCAGCCACTTCTTGAAAACCCTGTACATTGACGCTGTGAGTCAGAACCGACTTGACAGTACAATTGCCATATACACTTTGAATGTTTGTGATGATCACTCTTGGGAACTTTGTCTTCAATTATTATTTTAATTTTACCTTTAGGATTGTTTAAAAATCTTTCTAGCTTTTTCCAAGGCATTATGATGATTTATTAATAGTTAAAGGTGACACTGAGCATTAATTTTGTGACAGGTACTGTTTTAGGAGTCCTTGGGTGGTACAGACCATTAAGTGTTCTGCTACTTGGCTGTTCAAATCCACCCAGAGGCACCCCAGAAGAAAGGTTTGGCAATCTACTTCCAAAAGATTGTAGTCATTGAAAACCCCATGGAGTGGAAGTCTACTCTGAAACACATGAGGCCTCCATGAGCCAAGACAACTGGTACTAAAGGATTTACTTTTAAGTCTCACAGTACTCTGTTCAAAGGTAGATTTCTGTAGTTATGCTCATTTCCCAGGTAAGGAAACTGAAGCAAACATGTCAGTATAAAAGGAACTAGCGTTCAGGATTTACTTTCTACTAGGCACTTAGGGGCTTCCTGTGTGATATTTTACTTCATTAGGGACCAGTCCCTGGAGAAGGATGTCTTGTTTGGTAAAGTAGAAGGTCAGCGAAAAAGAGGAAGACCCCAAATGAGATAGATGGATTGACCCAGTGACTGCAGCAATGGGCTCAAACATAGCAATAGTTGTCATGGGTGCAGGACTGGACAGTGTTCTATTAGTTCTAGAAGTGACTTCGTGGTACTTAACAACAAAATTTGATTTTTACTGTGACCTTGTGATCTAGAAAATAATTTTCTTCAAGGCTTAGAAGGAAAGCCATTTATGTTCTCAGAACTGGAGAAACAGATTTACCACTCAAGTCAGCCTGACTATAAAGCATATTCTTGTACAACTAAGAGGGATGATTTGATCAACTATCTGCTGAATCTTTTTGATTTGGTTTTGACTCCCTGGAATGAAATACAGAAAAGGATTGTAAAGCCATGTTCTTGGTTCCATAGCAATCAACTAGTAATGTCTGCCATAGGAAGGGATCAGATAGGACACTTTCGCCGTGCATTTGCCATCCCTGTGTTCCCTGAGTTCCCTGAGTTGAAAACATGCAGTTGAAATGGAACACAGGGAAGAGATTGTTAAGGGCCATCTGAAACTTCAACAGGGTTTGCATGATGAGTTTTTCAAGCTTCCTTTGAGAAAGTTGCTATTAAAATGAAAGGAAAAACAAACTGACCTATTAAAATGTGACACTGTGGCCTTTGGAGTTATTTTAGGTACCATGGGATTTTTGATACCTAACATTTTTGGTTCAAATAATTATTTTCACTCTAATCCTTGGCATTGATAACTTAATTTATAATTCTAAGGTGAAGCATTATTTCCGGGTGAAGCCTAATTTTATGAAAAGGCCTTTGATCTTTGACTAATTCTTTATGTTTTTTCTTTTCTTAGCCATACCATTACTTCTCGAATCTTGAACAACAGCTGTTAGTAAATTAATGATGATTTGAAGATTTAAAGATATAGATGGGCTTTTTTTTTTTTTTTACTGTGTTGTGTTTTCGGTAAATTTTAACACAACAAGACATACTAATTCTGATTTTTAAAATTACTTTGCTTCCATTCTTTTGGGTTCTTAACAAGCATACATGAGAGCAGATCTTTGTCCATTTTATCCCTGCAGTATCCCCCTAGCCTAGAACAGTTGAGTACCTCAAACAGTACTTTGGTCTTTGTGTGTTCAGCAAGGTTTGTAATGGATTTGGATAATACTGGCCTGCTTTTATGTATGCCTGTGTTGAACAGTCCAGCTCCATTGTAGTGTCCTGCAGGATAGGGTCTGGGTCTTTCCCGCAAGTGTGCTGTGAACAAAGTAGGAATAACTATATATACAATTTGGTCTTTTGGAGACCCAGTGGTCTGATTTTCTATCCCAGGTTCACGGCTTTGTCAGATCCTTTTATACATCTCTAATTCCTAAGAGTTAGTAGTGAAGGAAGCTAGCTCTGAAGCTCTTCTGGGGGAAAGCAAGAAGCTGTGCTCTATTTCTTTGTCTTCCTCCCACTCCAGATGAGTCGGACAAAGGGCGATGAGGAGGAGTATTGGAACAGCTCCAAGTTCAAGGCTTTCACCTTTGATGATGAAGATGATGAGCTCTCACAGGTAGGTTTGCAGAAGGTCACCTCTCCAGAGCACCACTCTGAAATCCCTGTCCCTGTACCTTAGATAACCTGGCTTTTGACCCTGTCTCCATTAGGCTCAAAAATGTTTGGGATCAGATCTTTAGAAGAGGTTTCATGGAAACAAGC